TACAAAAAAAAAAAAAATAAACATTAGTCCTGGGTGCAATGGTGCATGTATTAAATTCAAATCTAAAAATAATGCAAAATTGTTGTAGGTTTTAAATAAAACAAAAACAAACAATGATAGTAATATTACATTAATAAAAGTTAGATTTAATTAAAATTGGGTTTTAATAAAAGTTTGATTTTTGGAGAAGAATATTATGTCGGGGTACTTGAAAATTTCAAAAGTTGTAACGGTATAATATAACATAACTTTTAAATGTTACGATTATCAATTATGTCTTATAAGATTATTATTTTTATTGCTCTACGAATGATAATATTATTATAGTTTCAATATTAATAAAAATTATAAAATCCTTTAGTTACGGAATGCAATGTATACTTCCCAACATACATATCAATAGGTATACTCAATACGGAGTAATGTATAGGCAACAGAAACTATAAGTTTTCAATTTTCGTATAGGTGCAATAAATTAGCATTCTTGTAAAGTACTCGAGAAAAGTATTTGAGTAAAATTATTCGAATACTCTTCAAATAATTCTCAAATAAGTTTTTTAAATACTTTTGAAAAAAGTACTTAAACAAAGTATCTGTATTTAAAATCAAAAACTAATTGTTAAACAATTTATTCTATTTAGTTTGTATTATAATATTTTCTATTTCAATTTTAATCAAATGATGTAAAATTAGAATTTATAATAATATATTTTTATACTGGGAATTTATTATTCAACCAAAAATTCTAATATTTTGACAAAAAAAATCAGATGGGAGTTTTATAGTTGTAGTGAATGATACGGTAAAATGCTCTATTAAATTAACGGAAAACAAGAAAATTTGTCCTGCTGATTTATAAGGTAAAAAGTGTATTTATATAAATTTTAAAGTACCTATAAATACTTTCTTAAAGTATTTGAATTTGTACTCAAATACTCTTTTTATCTGAGTATTCATATAATATACGTATTTTCAATACTTCTCAAAATAAGTAGGCATCTGTATCTGTAATTATTGAATACGTTTAAAAAGTCTCTTTTAAGAGGATTTTAATGAGTTACATGTAAATAATATAATTTTATAATTTATAATCATAACATTGTATTATCATATAATAACAATATTATTATATATTATGATCTAAATTAAGTATTATTTTTGTGCTATTATAATAGCAATTTATTAGCATGTGAGTAATATGTATTAATGTATTATTATTATAATGGATTCAACAACGATCGATTTTATAGTGACATTTTTTAGTCATATAATAATAATATTATATTATAAATATCGTTTAGTGATTAAGTAGTTTTTCCACTAGGTGTGTCAACATCAGCTGTTTCTTGATTAATTTTAGGTAAAACTGGTACGATCAGAATTTTAAAACGATTTATCGTCCCTATCAAATGCATGTAACGTTCCTAATACAACACTGTCTAGCTTCCGCCTCGAGTGCCCAATATCCAGTCACTGTGTCCTGTTCGTATTTAATTTTGTTCTTACTCGTTGTAAGAGAGCATATTTTATAGTTATTAATTTTTTTTAAATTAATATACATAATTTAACAGAAAGAATAATAATTGTATACAATGTTTCGAAAAAAAGTAATACGGTTATTCTGACGAATGAAAAATAATAAATACATTAATATTTTTGAATACAATACCGTCATAAAATAAGTTTATGTCTTTAACGTATTATAATATCGACTTAAATAAGTGGTAGATAATTATTCAAAATGAAACCGTCGCACATATTAATTTTTAAGAAATTTCGATTTTGATAAGTAAATTGAATGTAAGTTGTAAGTACCTACTTGTAATGAATAATACTTTATTATTTGCAAATATTATAACTATAAATGTATTGGAATATCTACTCATAATATACATAGCGATCAGAGTTTATTTTTACAGTAATCAATCAGTATCTCAAAAAGTTTAGACCATTTTTAAATATTTTTCTGAGAATAATAAAGTTTTGAAATAACTGATAATTTTATTTTTACTGATAATATATAGTAATAAGTATTTAAAGTTTAGATAAAAAGTGTGGAGACTTGAAGTGAGTAAGTGACACATAGATACCTAGCAAAATGTCTGTCGCCATTCTGTTTACCTATACTTTACTTACTTATAAGTGACATAAAAATTAATTAGGTACCAGATCAAAATTAGAAATTAACACTTTTTTAGTTACAATAATAAAATCAATATTTTATGAGTGCATATCAAATTTCGTCAAAATCTTAACTACGGACGTTCATTAAAAGTATTTTGTTGAATCACACAACATTTTTTTTTTATAATTGGTTTCAGCATGTACTCTGTATAAAATGTTCAAACCTTTAGATACCTATGTAATATATACAATGTTATGAATTTTAAATTACAAAATAATTTTAAATTTTTCAAATTTGGCCGAAAAATCCAATGCTCATACAAAATAATCCAAAACTACTTTTATTTCCAGTCATATAAACCCATGAAATATCTTGTATTACGTTTTCAAACTTTATGAATAGGTAAAATTGAAAATTACATCAGTCGAAAAAACCAAATGACAATGTTGTTTTTTTTTTATTTGAATTTGATTTATTTTTAACAAAAGATTAATAAAAAAAATAAATAAATGTATTCGATGTCTGTAATCTTTTATTCGTATTAACTATTACGTTGGTCGGCAACTATTAAAACCAAATAACGAATTAGAATTAATTTGTTTATAAACTCAACATAATATTGAATACCATAAAATGTAGAAGACTGGGGGCTGAGGGGCCTACATATTGTGGTAATAATCAAAATATATTCAAGTACATATTGAAAAGATTCCAGAAGGAAAAAGGCTACTGGGAAACCTCGTATGAGATGGGAGGTGGATTACGTGGTGAAAAAAAGATGAAGAAACCTTTAGTGGAGGTTTGGACTGGAAGGAACGAGCATCCAAGTTGGCTGGAGGAATGGATGTATGATGCGACCGAAAATAAGATTACGCGTTATTACAATTTACTGTGCTGCACACTGAACATTTCAAACATAATAATATTATAAAAATAAAATTATGGAGATAAAAATATGTGAAAGACGCTCACAGACGCTTATTTGGGGTTCAAAACGAGCCATGGTGATTTCAATCGTACCATTATTTCAATAATATCTATTTTTGAGTATATTTTACGCTTACGTTTAAATATCAGTCTCGTTACACCTAGCGACGAGATAGACTAAGCGCGGAACCAACGATCTTCGGTAGGTACTCGAAACCAATCGGACACGGATTAGGTCTCCAATATAATACGATAATGTTAGGTACCATAATCATCACACATGACGTGTAAGAAAAATAATAATTATGGTATAATATTATTATAGGTACCTAGTGTACTAGCGTCCTGCTGATTCGGGCCCCCGACTATTATAATATATATAATAATATACCTATGACCGAGTGTATAGTGTGCGTCGAATTAATATTTACGTACCTATACGTACTTTGTCGAACACGTATCCACTGCAGCGCCAACCGTATCCCGTTAAATAGCGAGAACTACATGATTCCAATACGTCCAGCACATCGTAGTTCGAATAACGCCATTAACTCTGACCTACAAATCCTCGATCAAAAATAATTATTAGGTGTACATATTATTATATTATTCATAGAGTCTAAAACGAGTTTTATCATAGTTTATTTAATTTTTTTTTTTTTCAATAATAATACATTATACTAGAATATTCGACGACCCTAATATAACATGATAATATATTCATGCTGGTAAATAATAATATGTGACGTATCAATTATAATATGCTCATATTATTATTCTGTTGCCTACATAATATCGTACCCGCAGCTAATCGCAACTTTTCAGTTTTCAAAGCCAACAGCAGCTGGTAATTTATAGTTCCGAAATCGTTTTTCATTTTTCACTTGGTTAGATTACCTATAATTAATACTGTAATATATGTTAACGTCGTGAAATGTGCATCGTCATAGCTTAATATACAAACACATTACACACATCGCATATAAATTACAACCGTGATATTCGTTACTGTCCAACACGACGTGTTTGTTTTATGGCTATAATATTATGATATTCATAAAATGTAAAAAGTTTTCTATTAACATTAAATACGTCGTATTCAATTAATATACCTATCGTCAATTGAATTTCTATCGAGCAAATTTCGAGCTGGGTAGTTAGGTTCCTATTTGTATATCGTGTAGCTGTGGTGAGCACCTACCTATACCTATATTTTATCAATGTTCAAACCAGACTTTATGAACAAAACATACATTTGTGGTAGTTAGCAATAGTATGCCTATTGTTGTCCCGTAAAATTAGTGTCACACATTTAGTCGTATATCATAGTATACCTATACATGACTTCTAGAGTCGTCGTGGACAGCTCGTGTATTGTTCACGCGTAAAACTAGTAGCCTATAATACTACCTACATAATATCGTATTATGCATCAATTGACTCGGGATGGAACGTGTGGTTGGACAATAATGTCACTAAGGGATGCTATCGGTGCGAGTTAAATAAAATACACAAAAGTTTTTTTTCGAAAACATCAAAATATAGTATGAACGTTTCAAACAATGTTGAAATATATCAATATAAATATTATATAAATAATAAATAAATAATGTACAAATAAGTTTAGTGAGCTTTGGCGTGTGGTGTAGCTCGCGTTTCGATGGCTCGTTTGAACTTTGATTGTCGTCGGGGTAGTAGTGCGTGAGCTGCACAGCCGGTATGACACGATGTGGTGGTGTAGGTATATGCGATGATGGTGTTATCATATACGTCGTGGTCGTCGTCAACTCGAGGACTTCTACTGGAAACGGTAAAAACGAAAATCAAACAAACGGCACAACTGTTTGTGTGTGTGCAAATTATGTGAGCGTGACCCGACAAGTCAGGGGTCGCATTGGCAGCGGATGTCGCAAAAGCCGGACCGGAAACTCACGTTTGGCGTGGGCGATTATTGGGATGTCTGCGGTGCTTGGGCGCTGTAGGCCATCTGTTGGGAGTCGACGCTGCGTCCCCATCCGCCGCCGCTGGCAGAACCACCACCGTATCCACCGGATGGGATGTCGGCGCCTCCGGCACTACCGTAAGAGTCGTGTCCACCGTGCACTTCGTGGTGGTGTTGTGGGATCACCTCGTAGGTGACGGTCTTCTCGTGATGTTTGCTGAGCACCTTCTGGAGGACTCCGATGAGGGACAGGACCAGTGCGATGGTTCCCAACAACAAGGCTTTACCGGCGATGAGGGCGATCTTACCGATGGCGAACGGAAGGATGGCGGCGAGTTTGATCTTCAACAGGGTCAACAGGGTCAAAAGAACGTGCTTGCTCTTCTTCTCTGCAAAAAAAAAAGGAAACGAGCGTAAGTATAATACTATAGTTGTGAGCGGTGACAGTTTACGGGTTATGGTATATATACGGTTACCATCGCGGTTATTGTTTCGAACCACGTAATCGGAAACGCCGAGGATCGGCCGATCATAGTGGTTTTATGTGCGTGCGTGCGTGTGAGAGTCTTTATCAATATCGCATTACGGATTCACGGCCCGATGACCGCGACGACCACGGTCGTGTGTCTTTCATCCGCTGGCGGGTATCGCGTTGCTCTATGGCCTCTATGGTCCTCGTGGGCGCGGGCAGGGGTTGAGCACTTTCTAAAACCGGTTTTTCGTGCGGCACGACGACGTTTTCTATGCGGCCGGTCGTTTCCCGTCGAGTGAGAACTTTGGAACGCGGGGTGTTTATTTCTATTTATTTGTGTGTGTGTGTCCGACTGATGTTATTATTATTGTTAAAGAGAAAGAAGAAGACGGCCTCGGCGGTGTCGTGGGAGTATGTGGAAAACCAGATTCTCGTGAGATTTGATTGACGCGTAGAAAGTCGTCTCCGATAATAATAATAATAATAATATGTATCATTACTATTTAGGTACGACTACGACTGCAGACTACCACGACGCACCTGTGTGTTATTAAATCGAGGCGGCGGCGGCGGCGGCCGGGGACCGGTTGACGGTCGGGGTTTTTTTTTTTTAATCGAAAACACACTTGTGCGCAATAATAATAAACAAGACTATTATAGAATGTGGGTTGGACGGACCTCTCGGGAATCGGGTCAGTAGGGACACAGAGCGGCGGGTGAGCGTCAACCGTCGCGGTCCGGACGACCTATCTGGCGGCGGGTCGCGGGTCGTTTACGGAAGTCGCTCGGCGTTTCTTCTCCGGCGGTCACCGGCGCGGTATACAATATTACCGCGGTAACGACATTATCGTCGTCATCTTTGTTGTTATTATTATGACTGCGGTGTAGATAACTACCGTTTATACCGCACACGGTCGCCCGAGGGCCAGAGGTGTAAGCGCCGAGTATCGTCGTCGCACCGACAAGATGCTTTTTCCGAGTCACCACGACGTGTGTGCGAACCGTTTATCTCATCGTTTGATACATTATTATTATTATAACTGTCATTAATTTATTTTTCCATCTATACATGCAATTAATAATATTATAACAACAGCGTAGTGACCGCACTGCTATTGCATGTGTTATGCCGGATTACTGTTACAATATTATAATATAAATCAATGAAACGTATATATGTAGTTAATATCGTCGACCAATAAAATATAACGAGTAAAGATAGAAAAAAAAATACGAATGCAGTGAAATTATCATAACATAAATAATTTTCAAATCAAATGGGTCGATAATAACAATAAAATTCAAAAAACTACCTAGTTTTAATCGGCTGTACAAAATATTGAAGTCACGTTTATCAAAATAACTGTTATGATAATATATAGTTGTTTGTATTCACTGTATACAGCGAGCTGTAACTTCATGTCGGCAAGAATTATAATTTTATAACTTAAGTTATTTTATTTCTCTTGTTAAATTAATATAGGTATCAATGACGATTAATGATGATTAATTTACTTAAATAATTTTCAGATCAATTTAGCAATATTATAAAGTCGAATTTACCGTAAATACGTAATAACCACCTACAGTAAGACTATAATCTTTTAATAAATATACTATTGTCGATTATGAATATTTCGGAAATATAAACGATCGATTGTCAAATAATCAAAATTATAGTCATAGTTAATATTATGTGTGATTCACAAATGCTCTAAAGGCCGATAAATGCATTTTTTTTATACGATGTATGAGTTTTTTTTAAATAAGCGACGTTTTAAACATAGCATTGATATAATTATTATAAGATTATGAACTTACTCTTTTTGATTCCACGGTTTTCTTCGGACGAGTCTTCTTCTTCGTTGTCTCCGATCAATTGGCTGACCATGTCGCTGATGGACTTTCCGGTTCTGGACACGGCATTGACCATATCAACTCCCTTGATGTCAACCTTGATGGAGTGTTCGTTCAGGTAACGCAAGACGCGTTTGACGACCAGGGATTCCATGTCTTTGGGTTGGTCTGCACTGCCGTCCAATGACAATGATCGTGGGGCACCGTCTCCCGGGCTTCCGGCCGATCTGACGACAGTCACTCCCTCGGTCAGGTTGATCTCATCCTTGTTCAATGCCTTGTCGACGTAAGCGAACAACTTGTATTTGATGCATGACACGGAACCTTTGTTAATGCAGTCGCTGTAGATGCCGTCTAATAAGTCCTCTTTGCCTTGGATGGAGTTGTGGCCGACGGACTGGGAGTCCATGCCAGATGGCAAGCTCCATGCGCAGGCGACGGTCAAGAACAGGCAAAAACATATCCTCAAGGAGTTCATGGTTGAGATGGGTAGGTATGGTTTGTGTTGCGGATCGCACTGAAGTCTGAAAAGCACACGATGTGTCGCCCCGAAACCCAAAAACTGTATGATAGGTAGGACATGGCAGCCGATGTTTATATACCGGGCCCCCACTTCGGTGTTCCGGGCACTTCAGCCACTTTTCGACGCCACCGATCTGGACCCCCGGAAGATGATGGACTTTCTCTATCTACCGGTTACCGGCTCCTTCCTTTCGCGTTCTACACACACACGCACACACACACACACACACACACATGCGCACATACACCGGCGGCATATATATTTTTGATGTTCTCAATGGACTCTGCGGTATTATCGCTATTATTATTACTATTATTTTAAACACCACATATGCTAATTTCGATAATAACTTGTACTGCTAATAATGACTTTGGATACGGTTTTAACAGAGTGTATAATGTCTGTTATTTCGTGGTTCGCTACACGGATTCACATCGTTTGCGATTTTCAAAGTCTTTTTCTTAGGTATTATACTTTTCGCACTACAGTAAAACTACTAAATTTTTATTTATTTTGAAAATAAAAAAATATTCATCTAGTATTGTGTTATATTACACCATAGATCGAATTGTTTTATAATTGGAACTAGGTATATAATATCAATTTATTGTATTATTATTAATATAAACTGTTTGAAAATACCCTGAACAACACTTTTTTTGATATAATATTTAATTTTAAGTATTTTATATTTTCTTAAAGTTCACATTTCTAAATTAGAAAAAATATTCTTTAGATTTGTGTATGTTGTTTTTTATTTAGAGTTAAATTAGAGTTGGGATATAACTACAAATATAATTTATGTTTTATCAAGAGTTGGTAATTTCCCCATACAAAATATATTAAAATAACACTTAATCATTTTAAGAACAAAAAAAAATATTTTTAAAAACAGGTTGATTTACAAAATTATAACTGTGAACAATTAACATCTTAAAATTTTACTAGTCACTATCGACTTGCTCACTATGTAATTCATAATATGAAATTATAAATAAGATTTAATATATTAATTTGATACTATACTAATACTTTATGTTTAGACAATTTTGTATGGGGAAGTTCAAAGTTAAAACCATGTAAACTATCCATAAATATTTGTGTCGCATATACATATCTAATATAATATATCATAGGTACTGCAATATTTACACTACGAACTAAATTAATGTGAAATATGATTATTATTTAACCATAGGTTTAATCCGAACAAAATTACATTATGTCTTAATCATATTTTTGAGAAATGTATACGTATATTTACATGTATACAATACACGTGCTTCGTCAACTAACCTTTTAAAAACATCTTTAAAATAGTAGATTAATGTTTGCATGATTTAGACTTAAACTTTTGGTTGTCTTCAGTGTTATGTTATTTTTTTGATTTTTTCTGCTTTGACATGCGGTAGGAAAATTTGATAATATTAAATATTTTTAAGGATTATATTTGGAAAATCCTACATATTATACTTATTCAGATTAGTTTATAGATATTTTACAGCTGATACGCTTAGAATATACTATTATACAAGGAAATTATACACTTAAGAATAAACAAACATTTTTCGTTTTAAATTTTCCCTCATGCTGTATAATACTCACACGCACCTTGCTTGTCCCAATTTTAATAATGTCATTCTGAACAGTGAAAGACCAATTATCTAAATCTCCACGTAGATGTGTTTGACATTTATTTTTGGAAAAACGTGGTAATAAAAATCGAAATCTGAATTTAAACACTACGTCATAATAATCAAAAAATCATCATATCTACTTAGGTACATAATATTTCTGTTCTTACGTAAAAAGCTGTTTACTTTAACGTCGACATTTTCTGATTATTCTCACATTGTTAAATTTCACTAATTTAAAATAAAATTGAAGGAATAAATGTATACTATTATTTTTCTAAAAGAGAACAGAAAAATCCGTAATCCAAAAATTATAATATTTATGTATTCTAAAAATGTTGGACATTCTAATGATTATAATAGTTACAGGTGTGGAGACGAATTTTATTCGTTAGAAATGTATTACTTTTGCAGGCCGTTTTTAATGCTTAAATTATTACAATAGTTAAACGCATTTGTGTATTTTTTTTGTTTGAGCGAAGTCGTAAACATTTTTATTGAATTTTCTAACGAAAATAATAAATATGATACAATTTCATTATTTACCTTAGTATTGGGCCATAGGTATAATCTAAAAGTATATTTTGTGTTCAGAGGTTTTATATTTGATCGTTACTACACATATAGACATTTGTTGTTACGATCATGTTCTTATATATCAGTTTGTAATATTTTGTTTATGATTAAGTGCAGTTTGTTTCATTTTATTTTCCCATTGATCGAATAAAAGACGCTCAAATAAACATATGCCTACAAGAAGTTTTTTTTTTTAATTATCTGATTTTAAAATAATTTTGTTATTTTATTGACAGCATTATTCTTATTTTCAATTAGCTAGGTATGATAAAATATCATTAGTTACAGAAAACCGTTATTCCGTGCGTTTGAACCTGTAAATGACTATTAGCCTTATTAATTACATTTCAATACTATGTTCGATTATAAAATGTAATCTGAGTGGTAGCCTATTCATTTTACCTAATATTATGTTTTTTTTTTAGAATCTCAGAGGAGCGACGATTATATTGATTTTACAATGATGTGTGTTTTTTTGTTAATTTGATTTTTAGTTACCACGTTACTATTTAGTGGCCTACTCTGTTAAAATTGTTGTCACCATAATTATATAATTCAATGTAGCCGCATGTAGATATATTTATATTTAAACATATTGTTAAGTTTCTCTATTTATTAAATATTTGAACATGTGTGAGATGCAAAATGTGTACGTCATGTATATGATGCATATTCGGGCATTTTAGTTCACATTACTTCTTTAAACATTTAAATAAACTATTATATACTATTAAACATATTAATAGTTTTCACACAAAATATTTCAACTAACTCAATTATTATAGTTTTCTTTTTGTGTTTTTTAGAATTGTAACGAGAGTTTGTTCTACATTATTATTTGTTTACTTTTTAATTTTTAATTACTTAAAAATGTACTGAATGTTTACCATATAACAGTTAATCTAATAGATTTATTTTAAATATTTCATATTAAGTATGTTTTATTTATTTTACGTAAATTGTGCAATTATTATAATATTTTTACATCGCTATTGTTAATTATATCAGCTCATGGTTAAATCACCATAGGATAGGATATTCGAAATAGCGATTATTGGAGCATACAAACTGTTTTAATTTTGTATTTATTACCATATTTTTTAATAAGTGAATCAAATAAATTATGTAGAATATGGATTGAGAATACATATTTTTTAAATCTACTCACTGACCCATAATATTTTCCACAAGTTTAATTAGTTTTATGCACCCTATGGGACTTTTTTAAAAAACTGTTTGTAAGTACCTAAATTATAACAATAAATATTAGAAAATTCATTCTGATTACCTGACAGTAAATAAAAATAAGTATTCATTTTTTATTACAATTTGCGTATTTCAAAGAAAATTTTTGACATTTTTACTACCTACTCAAATATATTGGCTACTTATCATATTATGAGATATTATTTGAGGTGTGAAATACTTTGCCATACCGCAGTTACCAACAAACATTCATCATAGGCCCTTTGAGACACAATTATCAAGAACTTTTTCTGTACACGTTTGATCGTATTAACGTGTGATCAATATTACTGTCAAAACTATTGTAAAATGTCGATTATCCAGCACTAAATATTTTTTTAAACTGAGATCATCGTAATCATCCCGTTTATGAGAACTAATTAAACTTTTCTAAAATTGTTTTACATTCGGTACTTTTCACAAATATCCCTATATCTGACTTATTTACTAATATGAACTTCATTCACCACCTACCTAAGTAACTTTAATTTAATTTATTGGAAATATTCAATGTCCAATCGTAGACGTGCCCCATGTTTATATTTGTTGTACTACTCGAAACACAACAAGTTGTGACATTCAGCGTACTACTACTACCTACTGTAATATTCACTACTATTATAACTAAAAGAGAATCTATTTTATCGTTGAAATCGGAAATCTATCAGACATCACGTAGGTATGATAGTAAACATTTGTGCTTCAAATATTTCTATTAAAAAAAATTACCTGCGTCTATAAAAGAGAGAAAACAAAAAAGAAACACTATTTATGGAGATAAAGAATCGTCGACATCTGGCGTATAGAATCAATGCAAACAGTGATTTTATATACATATTTTTCAATCCATCACATTTACAAATATAGTAAGTGATCATAATGCAAATACCATTAATACAGGGACTCCAAAACCTAGTCGATATGATATTATAAAAGTGAAAAACATCGCTCAGAATTAAAAAAAAACTATACCTATATAATAGAACACAATATAGGTGCCTACTAAATTGTGCTGTTCCTGTTTCGGGCCATTATTATGTTTTTCGTATGATTTCAGGTGCAAGTGTCGCGAAATAATAATATGGAAATAATGTATCGATTTGTGAAATTAATATTATCAGCCAACCACTCTGTACGCTGATTGACCTCCGTGATTCCCGTAAACTACATTCTTCACAACCGCTTCGACAACCACCGAGCGTTGTCGTCGTCGTCGTAGTTCCGGTGAATGATGAAAGTGGTTTTATGAATGAATGTATATGTATCGTGTACACACACACACACACACACACACACACACACACACACACACGAATATAAGTACATTTAAACTGGAACTGGAATTGAGACCCGTCGTACGCAAAAGTGGTATCGCGGGTACCGGCGTACCTATCATTATTATTATTATTATTATTATAGCCGTAAGTAAAACTAAAATGTACTTATATAAATATTTGGCAAAACCGGGAGTGTTCGATCGGGAACGCGAAAACGAAAGAA